GGGGACGTACAACAAGTCACCGTTCGTAACCTATGCAGAGTGTATTGCTCTGGTTCCGATGCACTTTAGATCCAAACATGTTTAGAAACAAAGGAGAGAGAAGAACCTGCTCAATGGGGTTTGATCTTTTAGGATAGACTCTTAATGTAACCTCGGGCGGTCACCTCTTGCTCATGCCCCTTCCCCTTATCACGCATGTTGCTGTGCAGGGCACACACCAGGTCAGGACTTACACATTCAGGTGCTCAGGGGATGAGCAGCTTAGTGCCTAGGGGGGCAACCTGCCCCATAAGGACAGCACCAGGGGCACAATGTGAGCCCCCTACTCTGCCTGCCTCCACTCCCAGATCCAGGCTGCCACCAGAGGTCTGCCTGCCTGACCTGTGCTCAGTGTATCTCTGGGACATGGCTGGACACAGGGGACAGTCAAAGCCCATGGCCATTCAATTCCCGAGCAGGTGGTCCAGGCCTTGAGTTTGGCCGCAGCATGTGTGGCCATGAACCTACCTGAAGGTATGCTTTCTCCCAGCCTTGCTCTATTCCATCTACTGTACCATGTCTATCCCCTGTTGCCCCTGCAAGTCTGTGGTCTGCCAGCATCTAGCATAGAGCTGGGCACATAGCGTTCTCCTTGCTGGGGACTCTGATCTGGCCAGGGGAGGAGGGTCATGTGAGTACAGCGAGGCCAGCCCCACCCTGCTCTTCCTCACTCGCTTTTCTGCAAGACCCTGGTATCTGATGGCCAAGTCCCTCCTGGATGAACTGGCTCAAGCCCTCATCCTTCAGTCCTACTAAGTCAGAGCTGCCCCCATTCCCCTGTCACATCTGGACTGTAGTGCCCCCTCCAGAGGTAGCCCCTCAGGTCTCTTCCTAATTTGGGGGTTCCTTTGCATCTCCTTTCCTGTTTGTGTTGCACAAGGATTCAGGGTGGGTTTACTGTGCCCCCTTCACCCCAAGAGACAGGCTTGGGGAACATGAGCAGTGGGATCCTTTGCCTCCAAGAGCAACCAGAAACTGAAACACAGCTGGGGGTGGGATTGGGGGGTGCCAAGGACACCAGGCATGCAGAGCCTCAGCCAGCCCCTAGCATCTGCCCTGTGACCCAGCTTCAGCAGAGAGAGGGAGGGGGCAGAGAGAGGGAGGGGACAGAGCTGGAGTGGAGGACCAGGAAAGGAAAATGAGGGCCTTGGGGGCAAGCACTGTGGGATACAGAGGGGAGGGTACAAGGGGTTCTGGGAAATTCCCCAGTAATGGCTCAAATGGGGGGAAGACATGTTCTTTTGCTGCAGCTCCCATCAAGATGAGGATGAGGTCTAGGGCCACTCTGCAGGAGCCCCTGAATTAGAGAGTAACCAGAGGGGGGACATGGGGTCAGGAACCCTTTCATGGGCCTTCCCAACTGGAAGGGAAGCACATGGTGACCTACTTCACAGGTCAGAAGATGAGCCCAGTGCTGGTGGACAACGACCTCACCTACATGGCTCCCCCTTTCCCCTCCCCCCACCCTGGGTCAGTCATAGGCGTTCCCCCTGCCCCAGTGGACCCAGAGGGGCCAGCAGCCCCTAGAGCAGGGGTGGGGAACCTTTTTTCTGCCAACGGCCATTTGAATATTTATAACATCAATCAAGGGCCATACAAAATTACCAGCTTAAAAATTTGCCTGCTATATTTGGTCAAACATTTAATTAACTCACCCCTAATGCCTTGGGAGGGCCAGACTAAATGATTTCTCAGGCCTTGTACTGCCCAGGGCTAGACATTCCCCACCCCTGGTCTAGAGCAAAGCAGCAGCAAGCTAAGTGCGGCCACCAGAGGGCACCAGGGACCACCATCCTGGGCAAGACTGGCTCCACCCAGGACCCTTCCTGAGGCACCCTGTAGGGAGACCAGGGCTCTGCTTTCTCTAGGTGGCCTGTTCTGGGTGCGCAGCTGGAGAGGAGCCAGAATCCCTGGAACAAGCCCCTTGTTACCCCTCAGAGCCCCTCATCACCGTTGGTGCCGACAGAGGACACCCTAAGTCTGGATGGCAGGGTGGTTGAGCACCGTCTTGGGCGAGGGCAGTAAGGGACGGGCCCTGCAGCGGCACAGCACTGAGAGCGAGGACTCCTTCCGTTGCTTACCCCAGGCACCGCCCTGCTTCCATAGGACAGCCCCGCCATCACGAGCGTCCCGGCAAAGACTCCAAACCAGCCACTCCGGGCGGGGCTGTGCCTCTGCCTCAGTGCCCTCGTCTATAACTGAAAGGGTGCAGCCAAAGTGGGTGCCTTTTCACGATGCACCGAGTTACCAGAGTGACAGGGAAGCGGCTTGGAAGAGCTCATCAGGATTTGCTGTGGTGCAGCCCGAGGCTCTGGTGCAAAGCGGGCTCTCCGACAGGCCTGCTGGAGACCCTCCCCTGAGCTCCTCACTACCCACTGTGGCCCCAGGCCACCAGCCCAGCCCTCCCAGCCCTAGCCCCAGCCCTCCTCTGGACTCCGTTGGTGCCCATGGGAGCTGTCTCGTTGTCAGATGTCTGCGGGTCCATAGCTTGCTGTTCTGGCCTGGAGGCTGGCCCTTGAAGGCTGGGCTGGGCTTCTGCCTCGGTTGGAGACACAGCAGGCCTTTTCAAGGCTGGGGTGGGTCTGATTAAGGGGTGTGGTGACTCCCTTGACCTTGAGGTTCTTGGTAGAGGGTCCTTGGCCTGGCAGGTGACCCCAGAACCTACAGACCAGTTCTGAGGGGGTGATGAGAAGGGTTCCCCAAGACAGGTACCCTCTGCCCTCACATCACAAATCCCATCACTGGTTCTACCTTCATATCTCAAGTCTGTTCATCTGTTGGTCCATCTGTCCACTGTCCCGGGACTCCTGTTAGGCTCTGCCCTGCCCTGACCGATACAGCACTGCCGTGACAAGGATGCCCTGGGAGTGGAGACCCCTGCCTCCCCAGCCCTCCCGCTCCCTCTGCTTCCACCCTCCACTGTGGGAAACTCTTCCTTGGACTCCCTCCCCCGCGCGGCCCTGCAGACGTTCCCACCCGCACACTAGTGTTTACTACTTGGTCTCCTCTGTGTCTGTGGGGTTCTTGGCCTGGCAGGAGCCCCAGGAAAAGGAGCACATTCTTTTGTGACCGCACATTCCCAGCTCAGTGGGTGAGTTGTGGGAGCCCTGGGGGCAGGAAAACCTCCGGAGTTCAAGTGCTGGCCCAGTGCTACCCTGCCTGGACCCAGTTTCCCCGTCTGTCACGTGGGTATTGGGCCGGCCCAAGGTGTCGAGTGAGAGTCTATGTGATGATAGTGCACAGCCAGTTACTTCAAGAGGCTTCTCATCAGTGAATAGAGCGTTGGCCTGCAGACTGAAGGGTCCTGGGTTTGATTCTGGTCAAGGGCACATGCCCAGGTTGTGGCCTCGATCCCCAGTAGGGGGCGTGCAAGAGGCAGCCAATGATTCTCATCATTGATGTTTCTATCTCTCTCCCCCTCTCCCTTCCTCTCTGAAATCAATACAAAAATATATTAATAAAATAAAATAATAAAACCTCCACCATTTAAAAAAGGGGCTTCTCATGAGGCCAGTGCTGGGAAGAGGCTGGTGGGTTTTTTTTGTTTGTTTGTTAATCCTCACCTGAGGATATTTTCCCAATGATTTTTAGAGAGAGTGGAAGGGAGTGAGAGGGATAGAGAAAGAGAGAAACATCGATGGTTGCCTCCTGCACACGCCTGGACCAGGGCCAGGGATTGAGGCTGCAACCGAGGTATGTGCCCTTGACCAGAATCCAACCCAGTCCGAGGGCTGATGCTCTATCCACTGAGCCAAACCGGCTAGGGCGAGGCTGGTGGTTTTCAGGCCTGAATAAATAAATAAATAAATAAATAAGGCATGCAGTTCTCTGGGACAAGCTCTATATGAACATTTAAGCCAAAAACGGAGGTGTCCCAGAAATGTCACATTCTGAGCAAAAGCTGATCCTTGGGCCTCAGACCTAGGCACAGGAGCAGCAGCACCTGGGCTGTGAGCAGGAGGGCGTCCGTGGGCAGGTGGTCTCCTGACCACGCCTCCGTTCCTCGGCGCACAAGCTCATGTCTTCACATGCACGTGCATGCCCAGCTTGGCTCCCGTGCTTCCCTGCCTCAGGCCCCCGTGTCCTGCCTCTCACCCCATGATCCTCCCTGACTTGAAGCCCCTACCCTTGATGAAGGGGCTGAGTGAGGAGGGAGCCCACCCTCCAGGCCCCGAAGGGGCCACGTCCACAAAGGAAGATTGGACCTAGGTGGAACAATCTGGAAGATACCGTGGAGCTGAGGGCGAGAGCTCCTGATATCAATCATGCCTCCCAGGAGATCGCCTCCCATCTGGGGTCCAGACCCTCCCTGCCCGTCTCTGCCACCCTGGCTTTCTTTTTCATGACACAGACACTGTCTGGCAACACCTCCAGGCTTGATACGAAGGGGAGTGTATTCCCAGGTTGTTGGTCAAGACAGAAGGCCACGTGGGTCCTCCGTCCCCACTTCTGCAGGCATGTGAAGGGCACTTGGCCATAGCTTCAGTCCCTGGGGCCCAGAGACCAGGGACTGGGTGGCCTGAGGGAGCCTCGGGAAAGGCAGGTGGCCTGTCCTGCAGGACAGGTAGGGGAAGCAGGGCCCAGCAGGGGGTGGGGACAGAGCCCGAGGCAGTGGGTCGTGACACCCTGCATGGGCTGGACGCTGGTGTGGGAGTTCTCCTTTCTGGGCCTTTAACACAACAAAGCACACCCCGCCTTCTAGAAGGGGGACAGATGTTGTCATCAGTTCACAACTCAACAATCACACTTCTGAAGAATCGTCACACGTTGGAAACACAGGGACCATGGTATTCCAGTGCACACTGCAGGTGTGATGGTCCCAGTCGAGTGGGGACAGGAGTGCTCACAACTGTGCATGTCAGAAGCACCACCGGTGACCTCGGGATCGGGGATGACGGTGCCCAGCCGGGAGTCCGGCCACATCCAGAAGAGACTTATCCTGGCAGGTGGGCCTCACGAGGTGCCTTCGGTTTCCCTGCAGGAGGTGGAGTCGGCAGGATGGGTGTCGGGACATGCTGATCTCCCCTTGAGACAGGTAGGTGACCTGGGCTTGGCCTGGGGACATCTCCTCACACAGGACAGCAGCGTGTCCTGGTGGGCTGGGTCAGTGTGGTCAACAGGGGTGGACCGTGGCTCTCAGTGGTGTGTGCTTCCAGTCAGGGTCTCGCTGGGTAGGCATAGCACCCTGGACTGGACCTTCGGACCTCCTGCCACCCCTGCCTGGATTCACTGATGGCGTGAGTGTGGACAGCAGCCACCATTTGACACCTGGCTTAAGGGATGAGCCTGCATTCGGGCCAACTGACCAGGACGTTAGCTGGGCTGTTCTGCACCACCTTCACATGGACGTCTGCCACGGCAGTGTCCGATATTGGCACAGCCCGCCCAGCTCAGGGTGGTCCCTGATGCCAGGGGAGACTAAAGCCACCAGCTATGGACAGGCAGTGGGCCCACATGCCAGAGTGCCAGGAGGAGGGCACCAAGGCCAAGCAGCAGGCTTTGTCGGGCCCAGAGAGGAAATGTTTCAATCCTGCCGGCCGTAGGTCTGCCACTCACAGCCACACTGGTCTGCATTGTAGAGCGAAAGCTGCCATGGACGACAGTGCCCTGAATAGTCTGTTGACATGTGCTGGCCCAAGGCCTTGGGTGGTATCTGTTTTGTGGGTTTCTCTGTTAATCACAGCCCCAGTGGGATGGGCATGATGCCAGGAAGTGTAGCAGGAGGCTGAGTGGCCCCTGTCTCCCCAAGGACCCTCTGAATGGTGCAAGGTGTGCCCTGCTGACACCTCAGTCTGCCAGAATTTACTGTGGTGGTGGCTTTCATAGAGTGGTGATGGCTTGTAAGAACGCGCCCAGTCACTCTTCTCCGTCCAGTACAGGCTCCCAGTCCCCAGCCCAGTGATCTGCCCCCGACCCACTGGGTGCCGTCTCTCTAGGAGGCTCAGCCGACCAGCTCTGTGGATCCTCACTGAGTGCCCAGTGTGGAGGGCCTGGCCCAGTCAGTGCTCAGGGGATGGTGAGAGTCCTTAGATCTCCAGATGCCTGCGTGTCCTGTGCTAAGGGATGTGCGACAGAGGAGAGGTGCGAGGAACCCCCTCTTGTCTATTCCCCAGGACATCAGTTGTTGGAGGCTCACAGCTGGGCTGGTGGGAGCTGGGGATCCGCTGCCACTTGGCTGCGTTGGAGGACGAAGGTCCAGCCAAGCATCTTGGTGGCCGGACTGGTAGGCCTTGCAGGGGCTCTGAATCGGGTTAAAGAAGCACATGCCCGGGTTGCAGGCTCGATCCCCAGTAGGGGGCGTGTAGGAGGTGGCTGATCAATGTTTCTCTCTCACCATTTTTAAAAATATATTTTATTGATTTTTTTATAGAGAGGAAGGGAGAGAGGGATAGAAAGTTAGAAACATCAGTGAGAGAGAAACATTGATCAGCTGCCTCCTGCACACACCCCCCTGGGTTGTGCCCACAACCAAGGTACATGCCCTTGACCGGAATCGAACCGGGGACCTTTCAGTCCGCAGGCCGATTCCCTATCCACTGAGCCAAACCGGTTAGGGGTGAAGTGGCCTTCCTTATCTCTTGTTATGGCCTTCACTTTGAGGTCTATTTTGTCCTATATAAGTATTGTTACCCCAGCTTTCTTTTCATTTCCATTTGCCTGGAAGATATTTTTTCATCCTTTCACTTTCAGTCTGTGTTGAACTCCTTGTTTTGAGGTGGGTCTCTTTTTTTATTTTTTAAAAAATATATTTGTATTGATTTCAGAGAGGAAGGGAGGAGAGAGAGATAGAAACATCAATGGCGAGAGAGAATCATTGATCGGCTGCCTCCTGTACAGCCCCTATTGGGGATCGAACCCAAAGCCCAGGCATGTGCCCTTGGCCGGAATCAAACCTGGGACCCTTCAGTCCTCAGGCTGATGCTCTAACCACTGAACAACTGGCTAAGGCTCAGCTCAGCTTTTGTGGTTGAGCGAGGCTGCACTTCTGGCCCCCAGCCAGGGTTTCTTGAGGTTTTGATGTGTTTCTTAGCCATTGGTATGAGTCTTGATGCATTAAAGAATGAATTCTTCCCTTGTCTGCCTGCCTGCTGCAAGTTTTTTTCAGCCTTTTAATTTTAGTTTGTGATGGTTTACATATTCAGACATTTTTCATATTTTGTGGTGAAACCTACTGAGTTTTTTTTTCTTTTTTACTTGTTTCATTGTTCTATGCATTGTCCTCCCTAGCATGTAGCCAGATAAATTCACATCAGTCTTTTCCTGTGGGTCTTTCTAGTTTAGTGTTTACACTCAAGATTTCATTCATCTAGAATTTACTTGGACATAAATGTGAGGTGAGGATTTAACTTTTTTTATACAGTTGTATCTGAGCTGTTTCTTTTTTATTTATTTTGAGAGTATGTTTATTAAAGCTGGGGACAGCAAAACAAGGAAGGGCTTAGGGTAGAAGAAGCAACAAGAAAGAGCAGTAGGGCAGCCGTAGCTCTCAGGAAACATTATGGGGAAGAAGTGAGCCAAGGCGGGGCTGCTGTCAGCTGGCTGGAGAGCCAGAGAAAAGGGGGCCTTGGGGACAGGTTCAGGGGGCTCGCCTGGGATGAGCTGCTGCTGCCCATCGCTCCCCTGGTTGCACATCTTGTGGGATCCCTTAGCGTTTAGGAGATGCACGAATTTGGGGGAAGGAGAAGGAGAAGGGGAAGGCGCAGGCATGCTCCGGGGAGGGGGAGTGTGCTGAACTGTGTCTTTTTGTTGTTGTTGTTAATCCTCACCCGAGGATATTTTTTCCACTGATTTTTAGGGAGAGTTGAAGAGAGAGAGAAAGATAGAGAGAAATATCGATGTGAGAGAAACATATCAACTGGTTGCCTCCTGCAGCCCCGACCGACCAGAGCCTGGGCCAGAGAGGAGCCTGCAACCGAGGTAATGCCCTTGACTGAAATGGAACCTGGGACCCTTTGGTCCGCAGGCCGACACTCTATCCACTGAGCCAAACTGGCCAGGGCTGCTCAGCTGTGTCTTGTCTGTCACCAGAAATTGGAAATGTCACATAATGTGTCCTTGGGTTTGTGGTGCCCTTGGCCAGAGCCCAGTGGATTGTTAAGAAGATCCGGTCAGGGCCTCCCATGATCAGCCCTTGTTCTCAGAAGCCCATCCCTCTGTATGTTTAGCTATAGGGACATGTTGGGTCCACTCTGTTGGGACCTCCTCCCTCTTTGGAATCATAGGCTCGCACTGGTGGAGCCCGCTGGCCCTCCCTCTGTGGGTTTGTGTCACGTGCTGTCCCATACACACCTTGCCTGCTCTGTTTTCCCTGTATCTTGGGCTCGAAGCCCCTCTGAGCACCCTTCATTACTGAGAACAGGTCCCTGCCATGGTGGGGCCCCCTCAGAAACCCCAAAGGTGACCGGGTTCCTTTGTGGACATCCAGGCTTTGAATGCTATGTGCTACCTGTGGCATGGGACAGCCCCAGAACCACCTGCAAGGAGGGGCATGGGTCTCCTGATGACAGTTTGTGGGCTTTCACATGTGGTGTCTCTTACCCAGGCGGCTTTGTCATGCTGGGGGAGTGAACTGGCCTCTTTCTCAAGGGTCCTGAGCCTGGCATCCTCATGCCCACAGTGGGTGGCACCACCTGGCCAGGGGCTCACGTGTCCTGTTTGTGTCTCAGCCTCATGGCTGGTAGGCGTGTGGTGGCCGGCCAATCTGCCTGCCACGCAAGGATCTTGCCTACATGGCTGGAAAGCCTGGTTCAGGCCTGCCGGCTGCCCTCTCACCTGTGGGCTGTCCTAAGCCAGGTATCCAGGGGCCTCTGTGATTGGACCTGTGGGTCATTCCCCAGGTGGGCTCTGTCAGAGTCGCCGAAGGAGGAGCGCATGAGGCCGAAAGTGGTAAAGAATTATAAGTTTATTAGGTCATCTGGCGAGACCAGATAGGCTGAGCCCCAAAATGGTGCCTGCTCCCAGGGAAGGGGAGTCAGATATTTTAAAGGACTCTAGGCGGGCTTCTTCAGTGGGGAATTCTCTGGGTGGGTCCAGATCCTGGGCAAGTCTGGCGGGGAAAGTTACTGGTCTTAGCAAATGGAATGTGGTCTAAGCGAAAGGGAATGTCAGACCTAAAATTACTTAAAGGTCAGTTTCCCAGGGGAGGGGGCATCGATTCAATTATTTGATCAGACCTTACAGGCTCAATGTGAGAAACAGGCGCCAACACCACAGCCCCAAGTCCCTTTCCACCCCCAGGACCCCTGCAATCTCAGGTGAGGCAGAAGGAAGGACACTTATGTGGCAGGATTGGGTTCAGACCCTGGCTCTGTTGGCCCCACAGGCCGCAGGAAGGGCTCCGTGCCGGCCACTGCAGTTGTGAGGTGAGTGCCACGCCAGCTTCTGGCTGCACCATCCCTCACTCCGGGTGATTCACAGCCAGTGGCGTGGAGGGTGCAGTGGGGCCAGCTTAGTGCGGCCGGGCAGTCCCTGCCAGCCCTCAGTGGCTGTTGTGGTGTGTTTACCCTCACTCCCCAGCCCCATCCCTCTCCTCCCAGAGCATCCCCTGCCCCTCTGCTCTTTTGGGGCCTCTCACTGTCACTCTGGCCAGAGTCAGCTTAGGGCTCTTCCCTGGACTTGTTCTGCTTTGTCCGCCTTCTTGTACTGTCCTTGGGGGAGCTGCCCGAGAAGCCCCTGGACCATCAGGCCGCTGAGGGGCCTCCGTTCCCCCAGGCCCTGGGTGCCCTGCCCAGCATGACTCTCAGCTGGAGCACCGGGAGTCATCAGCTGTTTCTCTCGCCCACAGGGAAGGCATCCTGGTTGGGGAAGCCAGAGGCACCCCACCCCCATGGCGCATCTTGCCAGGTTGATGTTTGCAGTTGATGAGTTTGGTATTTCGAATATGCCTTTAGTTAAACTTTTTCTTTTCAAAACATTTCACTCTCCTGAAAACCTAATTAGGCCATTCATTCCTCTGAATGTACTTGCTGCTCTCTGCATTTTGTGAGATAATGAGGCTGTGGAGATGCTGCCAAACCCATCCTGGGGGTAGGGGGA